TATAATGTAAACGTGTCATATATTCAGCCTGTGCAAGGTGTGCATACATACATACTGTAATATATATACATAATATATATATAATATGTACACATATATATACACAAAAGATATGATATGATATATAGCATATGTATAATAGATACTTGACTATACAAGAAGATATACATACAATAGATAATATCTTATTGTTATATAATAATAATAATAATAATAATTTAATAATAAGAATTCTTGGTGTCTGTGGTATAAAGACACTGAATTGCTTTACTGTGGGACTAAAAGGGTTTTATTAAGACAGCAAGTAGGGTGATTTTATGTATTTCATTCTATGTTCAGTGAGTTTTGAACTTGTGTCTTTACTTTTCTACAGGAACAGCTCGTCCAAATATAATGACATCATCTCTAAAAGTGTTCTGATCCAATCAGGATCTCCCGTTGTCTACCAGCTGAAACCAAAGAAAGAGAAGATTGGAACTCTAAGAAGAATGACTCTTGGTGAAAAAGATCTGAACAAGACAAACAGAACCATTTTACTTGTTGGTGAAACAGGAACAGGAAAATCTACTCTGATCAACGCTCTGGTCAACTACACCATGGGAGTGGAGTGGGAGGACAATGTCTGGTTTCAGATAGTAGAGGAGGAGAAGGACGAGAAGGAGGAGAAGAGAAGTCAGTTAGAGAGTCAGACATCAGATGTGATCGTTTATGAGATCTTTGGTTTTGAAGATAAAACTCTGCCCTACTCTCTGACCATCATCGATACTCCTGGATACGGAGATACCAGAGGGATTGAACTAGATGTCATCATCAGTCACAGATTACTCGACTTGTTCCGCTCAGAGGACGGAGTCCATGAGATCAATGCAGTGGGTCTGGTGCTGAAAGCGACTGAGAATCGACTCAGTGACAGAGTGAGATACATCTTTGATTCAGTGATGTCTCTGTTTGGAAAAAACATGGAGAACAACATTGTTGCCCTCATCACTCACTCAGATGGTCTCACATTTGAAAAGGCTCTAAAAGCTCTAGAAGAAGCAAATATTAAATGTGCTAAAGATAAAGACAATGAACCGGTTTATTTCCTGTTCAACAACCACCAGAACAAACAGAAAACAAAGAGAAACACAGCTGCTTTAAAAAGTGCATGGAGCTTAACAACAGACGGAATGAGTCAATTCATTGACTTCCTGAAGAAAACTGCACCTCAAAAGATGATAACAACTGTTGAAGTGTTGAATTCACGGATCAGACTGACAGCCTGCATCCAAAACCTGAAAGAGAGAGTTGAGTTTATTGAAGTAAAACAGAAAGAAATCCAACAGACTGAGGAAGCTCTGAAGAAATATGAACAAGAGATGAAGAACAATGAGAAGTTCACTGTAGAAGTTGATGAGGTCTACAAAGATAAACAACTTATTGATGGTGGGATGTGGGGGTTGGTGTTTTATGAAGGAGCTGTCTGCTGTACAGTCTGTGAAGAGAACTGTCACCATCCTGGATGTACAATGGCCTGGAGTCCAGGACACTGTGAGGTCATGAAAGATGGCCGCTGCACTTCATGTACCAGGAAGTGTCCTGTATCAGATCATGTGAAAGAAAAGTGGATCTATGTGAACAAGACAAGAAAAGTTCAGAAGATCTTAGAAGAAGTGAAAGAGAAGTATGAAAAGAACAAGACAGAAAGTGAGAGCAGTTTGAGCCTTTTGAAAAATCTAGAAAAGGAAACAGAAGAACTTCAGAAAGATAAAGATCAGTGGTTGGAAGAGTCCTTCCAGCATGTTGTCAAACTGGAGCAGATCGCTCTGAATAATGATTCAGTGTCCACTCTTGTCCACTTGGACTTCCTGATTGAGAAGATGAAGGAGAAAGGAGACACAGAGAAGGTCCAGAAACTGGAAGAGATGAAAAGACGAGTAGATAAAGATAAAGGAGTCAGGGCAGCGCTGCGTTACGGGTTCAGTAAACTAACAGCAGTTGGTGGAGCAGTTAAAGAGCTGATGAAGTAAGTTCCAGCGTCACTGTGAGCTCTCAGTATGATGTCGTCCAGTACAACACTGCAGACTACAACCTTAATAATAATCATATATTTACATTAATGCTCTCTGACAGTGTCAGTCAAACCTGAACATTATTGATCTGTTAATGTAGAATTTATGTCTGAGCTGTTGTATTGGACTGCATTAGATTTTACAGCTGTTCCTAATAAAGTACCACTGAGTGCATATCTGCTAATTAATATATGATAGTGTGTTATTAACCATTTATTACTGCTGCTGTTACTGCTTTATTCATCAGCCTCTAATGTACCAATAATGTGTGTGTGTGTGTGTGTGTGTGTGTGTGTGTGTGTGTGTGTGTGTTTCACTTCCTGTTCTCTATAAAAAGTGACACCTTCACAATGCACAGTCCAAAATTATTACAAATACATTAAAATTATTACAATTATTTCGATTATTACAGTAATTTAAAGGACAAGCAGCAAATTGGAACCAAGCTGGAACCATGAAATGTTTTATTTTTTATTTATTTTTATTTTATTTTTATTGAGCACTAATAATACAGGATATGTACATAGATACAACATTCACAAAAGAACTGCTAATATCATTATTTTGTATGAATTATTCTTCTGCGTGCAAGCAGTGTTGTAAAAGCAATGATGTTTTTATATCTTTTCCTTATTGTAGAATAAACAGCTTACATCTGTGTTAGGGTTTATTTATAAGTCTGGCTTTGGAGTAGTGGATGCAATGTAAGATCTGAAATTGTATTATACTTAATTTGGCACATGAAGTGCGGTCATTCACTCTTAGTAGAGCGCTTTCCCAAATGTCTTCTTCCAAGTCCTCTCCCAACTCATCCGCCCAGTCTGCCTTCATCTTTGCAAGAGTTGTATTTTTAAAAGACGATATACAGTTATTGATTCTTGAAATAAGTCCTTTAAAGCTGAAAGTAGTTTCTAACAGAGCATCTAAACCAGAAAGTGATGGTATGTAGTTGGGAGCATGATACTGAGGAAGTGGCGGACTTGGAAATATCGAAACAGGCTAGACCGAGGGAGGCCAAATTTATGTGACAAGTCATTTGTCATTTACAGCAGGGGTCACCAACACGGTGCCCACGGGCACCAGGTCCCCCCCAAGGACCACATGAGTAATCCTCAGGCCTGTTCTAAAAATTAAACTATAATATTGATATTATCTGTTTCCCACCTTGTTAAGTCATTGTTGATAATTATTATGAGAAATCATTAACATGATCAGTGTCTTCACATAGATGAGTATCATTAATATAATAATGAATTAATTTCCTGTCAATCAATGAACTGTCTGATAGTTTCAGCTGTTCTTGTTTATTTTCATATGTTTAGTGTAAAAATATGAGTTTGTAAAGTAAGTGAAGCTTTTCTCTGCCATGTAAACAACTGGGACACAGCTAACAGCTCTGCCTTTAAATGGAGTGAGGACGCCCCCTGGTGGTTAATGTGGGGTACAACAGCTCCCTCCCTCCCCTATATCACAGACTAAACACAGTGGGGTCCTGTTGTTTTCTGCTTTCTGAGGGATATTCCTCTTATTATCATGTGTTCTTCAGTATGATTATGCTTTTGCTGCTATGAATAGATGTGTCTGATATATCCACCATGATATCACAATGTTTAAGCTGTTGGGAAACTAAATCCAAGTCAACTCATTATAAAGGAGTTGATCCTGGAGGGGGTTGATACTGTACCTCTTCCTGTGTCTTTTGTCAGCGGGATGTTTGTGTGGAGCACTTTAAGGAGGAGAAAGGAAGAGAAGAAAGGTCCAATAACACGTGCAGTGAACTCATGAACATCCTGTTGTTGGCTCCAGTTAATGTGTGTTATCTCAAAGTGCTCCAAGAACTGAGGACAGACTGCCTCTCCTCACTCACATCTGTGTAATGCTGATGATGGCTCTCGCTTGCAACCAATAAAGATCCACTGAGAATCTGAACATTGTGTCAGCTGCTAGTTTTCACTTTACACCACATTTTCTTTACTTTCTCTGAGTATTTAAGCTTTTTCTAAAGTGCTTTTCAGTCAGTACGAGGTTGAGATTTATTGTTGAAGTCTCAGTAAACGTCTCACTGCTATATAATATATAGAGAGTAACACTTTATCAGGGTTGGAGGATTACTTTAATGTAATCTGATACAGTTACTGATTACCTGTTCACATAGTCGGTAAATGAATCCAAGTATCAGAGTTTTACTTGAACAGCAAATATGCAAATAAAGAAAATAAATATCAATAAGAAGTATCGATGTATCCTATAAGACAACAGAATAATTTAATGAAAAGAAAATAGGAACCAGTATTTTATCATCAACAGTTTGTCCTCTGCTCAGAGTATTTAAAAAGAAAAACTGACGTATTTTAATATTGTTGTAATAGTCCATATTTCAATACATGTAACTGTAATCTGATTACAATGTTTTTTTTATCCTGATTACTGAGTCACATGTAATCTGAGGAACATATTCTGAGTTATTTGGACACTATTGTAGTTTTGTTACATAAGAACAGACCATATTTATTAAGTGTTATTAAAGTACAATGAGTGTTATTGTGGTTCCACCTTATAAGGCTCATACTGAGAAATCTTATTAAGATCATAATTCATGTCCAACAACTTCTTCACTGACAATCAACCAGCAGTCATTAGGAGGTTATTGAGGGAAAACTCTTAATTTATGGCCTAGTAGTTGTAGAATATGCAGAATAATGCATTTATATGTGACTTAAAATGACTAATAAAGAGCTGATATTCCCCAAATATGCATTCTAATAAACTAGTTAATATTAACTAGCTAGTTATATGAATATATTTCTTGATTTTAAGGGGTTTAAGAAACCAAATTTTCCAAAAAAAGGAGCCTATTAAGTATTTATGATTATTAATAACAAAAATAAACAATTCAGAGAGAATTGATTAAAAATATCAGGAAAACTCTGATCAATATTAACAGGAAATAATCTGCTAGAAATTCATCCTAATCTCTGGTTTTACACTCATACATTAGAATATTAAAATATACTGTGAAATATTCCACAGCGCTGCCACCTACTGTCCATAGGTGAAAACACACCTCACAGGAAGTTATGCAGCTCCTTCAGTTGAAAGGTTCAACAATTTACCAAAATAAAAGAAATTAAACCCACCAAGAAATGTGACCATACATTCTGTGTGCGTACTGCGTCACGTGTGCACAGTTACAGTTAATAACATAAGATCAATAATCCCATCGGCTGTGACTAATTCCTGATTTATTCCCATATTATGGTTTTAGTTTCCCACTATTGCTTCATCTCGTGTGAGTAAAAACACAATATAAATAATATTATTAGTTATCAACATTTAAAGTTCAAATCCAACAAATCAAACTCACCTTTCTTCAACTAAAGTTCTGTTAACTTTGTCTTCTTTAATTGTGAAATGCACTGTTTGTTTAATATGTATGGAAGCTTATTTCTGCCAATGTGATGAAAAAAGAAGAATCTAAGTCATTATAATGAGAAACTTCCTCAAAATGATGAATTTGTATCTTAAAATAATAACACAGCAACACCGTGCAATGCATAAACTACATGCACTACACTACATTATCAGCAGACACTACATAGAAGTCCAAAAATCTCGCAGCATCTCCTCTCATGCATACTACAAAGGAGAGTCATATTCCTTGATAGCAGTAAACAAATAAAACACGTAACTATGAACTCAAGGACTAAAACTGACAGCTATAGCAATCAGTCAATCAGTCTTTAATCATTATAGTGTCAAATCACAACAGAAGTTATGTCATGACTAGGGGTGGGACGAGACTAACGGGAAGAACCCTCATGCTACCCTTTCAGTTTTTAGTCTGTGACTGTGAAAATCTTTTGGTGTAAGCCCAGCATTAGTTAAAACCAGACTCGGACAATAATAACAAAATATCCTGACAAAATATCACACATATAGTATGTTTCTTCATATAAACCTTTAAACATACACATATTGCATTCCTCTCACCACATGAAATAACCCAGTGAATGATGGAGGAGACAAAGCAGGTCCTCAAAAGGGGACAGAGGGAAAACAACTCCTTAGGCTCTCATATATAGGGTGGTCAACCTAAAAGAGACATGGAAACATTATTAAGTCATCATCAAAAATCAAGTATGAATTCATATCACATTATAAGACACATCTCACCCAAACTGGAAAACACTGCAGCCAGTTCTATTTGTTATAGTGTACCGTGCTCCTGGACCGTACTCTGATTTTATATCTGAATTTTCAGAGTTTCTATCAAGCTTAGTCCTTAAATCAGATAAAGTAATTATTGTAGGTGATTTTAATATTCATGTGGATGTTGACAATGACAGCCTTAGTAATGCATTTATATCATTAATAGACTCAATTGGCTTCTGTCAGAGTGTAAATAAACCAACTCATTGTTTTAATCACACTCTTGACCTTGTTTTATCATATGGCATTGATATTGAACATTTAATAGTCTTCCCACATAATCCTTTCCTATCTGACCATTATTTAGTAACTTTTGAATTCATACTATTAGATTATAAGCCATTAGGCAAAACTTCCTACAGCAGATGTCTATCTGACAGTGCTGTAGCTAAATTTAAGGAGGAGATTCCTTCAGTGTTCAATTCAATGCCATGTCTGAATTTAACAGAGTCCTATAACAACTTTAGTCCCTCTGAAATTGATAATCTTGTCGATAGTGCTACAGGCTCACTACGATCAACATTAGACTCTATCGCTCCTATAAAAAGGAAATTATTAAAACATAGGAGACTAGCACCTTGGTATAACCACCAAACCCGCCAGTTAAAGCAAATAGCTAGGAAATCTGAAAGGAAATGGCGCTCTTCCAAATTATCAGAATATCGCTCAAATTGGCAAGATGATCTTAAGATTTATAGAAAGGCCCTCCGTAATGCCAGAGGAGCCTATTACTCAGCACTAATAGAAGAAAATAAGAACAACCCTAGGTTCCTCTTCAGCACTGTAGCCAGGCTGACAGAGAGTCACAGCTCTATCGAGCCACATATCCCCATAAACTTAAGTAGCAATGACTTCATGAGCTTCTTCTATAATAAAATTATTACTATTAGAGAAAAAATTAATCACCAACTGCCATCAACAGTTATCAGTGGCTCTCCAAGTTCAGGGACTTCTGTCAATGTAAACTTAGATGTATATTTAGACTGTTTTTCTGCTATCGATCTTCATCAGTTAACTTCAATCATTTCTTCATCGAAGCCATCAACCTGTCTGTTAGACCCGATCCCAACTAGGCTGCTTAAAGAAGTTGTTCCCTTAATTGGCACTTCTTTACTGGATATGATTAATCTTTCTTTATTATCAGGATATGTACCACAGTCCTTTAAAGTAGCTGTAATTAAACCCCTTCTTAAAAAGTCTACTCTTGACCCAGGGGTTTTAGCCAACTATAGACCGATTTCTAACCTCCCGTTCCTCTCTAAGATTCTGGAGAAAGTAGTCGCCAAAGAGTTGTGTGACTTTCTACATAACAATAGTTTATTTGAGGATTTTCAGTCAGGATTTAGAGTTCATCATAGCACAGAGACAGCTCTGGTTAAAGTTAATAATGACCTTCTGACTGCTTCTGACAATGGACTTGTCTCTGTACTTGTATTATTAGATCTTAGTGCTGCATTTGACACCATTGACCATGATATTCTTTTACAGAGACTTGAGCATCAAATTGGCATTAAAGGAACTGCCCTAACCTGGTTTAAGTCATACTTATCAGATCGTACTCAGTTTGTACATGTTAACGATGAATCCTCCATAAATACTAAAGTTAGTCATGGAGTTCCACAAGGTTCTGTACTTGGACCAATACTATTTACTTTATATATGCTCCCTTTAGGCAACATTATTAGGAATCACTCCATTAACTTTCACTGTTATGCAGATGATACGCAGTTATATCTATCAATCAAACCCAATGAAATTAATCAATTATCTAAATTACAAACATGTCTTAAGGACATAAAATCCTGGATGAGCTGCAATTTTCTGATGTTAAACTCAGAAAAAAAACGAAATTCTTGTTCTTGGCCCCAAAAACCTTAGAGACTCATTGTCTAAAGATATAGTCACTCTAGATGGCATTAACTTGGCCTCTAGCACCACTGTCAGGAATCTTGGAGTTATCTTTGATCAGGATTTGTCATTTAACTCCCACATAAAGCAGACCTCTAGGACTGCCTTCTTTCATTTACGTAATATTAGAAAAATTAGACACATACTATCACAGACAGATGCAGAAAAACTAATCCATGCATTTGTTACTTCAAGGCTGGATTACTGCAACTCTTTATTATCAGGTTGCCCCAATAAGTCCATTAAAACGCTCCAATTAATTCAGAACGCTGCAGCACGAGTACTGACAGGAACTAGAAAAAGAGATCACATCTCTCCTGTACTAGCTACTCTGCATTGGCTCCCTATAAAATGTAGAATTGAATTTAAAATACTCCTCCTCACCTATAAAGCTCTTCATGGTCAGGCCCCTTCATATCTTAAAGAGCTCATAGTACCCTATTACCCCACTAGAACACTACGTTCTCTGAATGCTGGGCTACTTGTGGTTCCTATAGTCTCTAAAAGTAGAACAGGAGCCAGAGCCTTCAGTTACCAAGCTCCTCTCCTGTGGAACCAGCTTCCAGTTGTGGTTCGGGAGGCAGACACCCTCACCACTTTCAAGAGTAGGCTTAAGACATTCCTCTTTGATAAAGCTTATAGTTAGGGCTGGATCAGGTGAGTCCTGAACCATCCCTTAGTTATGCTGCTATAGGCCTAGACTATCGGGGATTTCCCATGGTGCACTGAGCTACTCTCTTCCTCTCTCTTTCTGCACTCATTCATGTCCCTTTAATGCATGTTACTAACTCCACTTCTTCCCCGGAGTTCTTGTGCTTTCTCGTCTCGCAGGTTCTCATGGATCCTGGTGGAGCCTCCTGCCATGGTCCTGCTTGACTGCCATTGCCAATACTGTTGTTGCTGTGCACCTGTCTGTCTGTCGCTCTCTCTCTCTCTCTCTCTCTCTCTCTCTCTCTCTCTCTCTCACCCCCAACTGGTCGAGACAGACGACCACCCACCTAGAGCCGGAGGATCTGTCCTAGGTTTCTGCCTTTTAACAGGCAGTTTTTCCTTGCCCTTGTCGCCAAGTGCTTGCTCATGGTGGTACTGTTGGGTCTCTGTAATTAATGTTAAAGAGTTCGGTCTAGACCTGCTCTATTTGAAAAGTGTCCTGAGATAACTTCTGTTATGAATTGGCGCTATACAAATAAAATTGAATTGAATTGAATTGAATTGAATGACATACTCAACAAATCAGAGACGTCTCAGTAACCAAAAAGTGGACGGAGGGGGAACAACTCCTCAGGCTCTCACATGTCAAGTGGTCAACCTGAGAGGGACATGGAGACATTATTAAGTCTCTAATCATCACAAATTAAGTATGATTTCATAAAACATAAAAAACAAAACAAAAACAACCAGTAATGGAGAATAATTGATAATTTAGTGTACATGATCACACCATTAATAACCACAGAATAATGTACAAGATAAAAGATTAGTTCATGTTGAACTAAACATTCACGAGCGTAACAACACTAATGGCTTTGTCATGTTTTCATTATGACACTAGTGTTTTCCAATGCAAGAAAGTCAGATCTTTGTGACAATACATGAAAATGCTCAAGACAGCACTATACACAGCCGTTTGAAAACTACAGTAAAAGTAACACATTTACACAGAAATTAAAGTTACACACAAATTATACCTACGAAATAGTTATGACTTCAGTACACAATAAATGAATTGAAAGATAAAGATAAATTCAATGGCAAATAATGCAAATTAAACTCATTATTTCCTAATTAATTCAAAGTATCTCATCTGTATTTACAATACAGCTTGATTCTGCATCTCTATTTCCAGTCATCAGTCCATGTCAATGGTTACTGTTGCTATGGCAACAAGCAGCTGTTGGCTAACTTAGAACAATAATAACCCATAATATCACAATTCGGCATATTTAAACCAAATCAAGCACAACTACCAACAGTCACAGCCCTTCCACTCTGGGCTAATATGTTGTCACAAGTATGCAGTTAATGAGGTCCCATCACATTCAATGGAAAAACCAGGCTAACGTTACTCACCATGTCTGCCTCCACTCGCTCGTCTCCCGGCGCAGCAGCACCTGCTGGGGTGGTGACCCCGGCACCAAATAGGTCTGTCAATGTCCAACATTTAGCAGCTTCCACCTCCAGAGACTTCAGCTTTTTAAGTTTCTTACGGTTATCCATCTTCAGCTCAGCAGCAGCCCTTCCCGCCACTCCGGCCCATGCCATGAGGTCCCGCCCACCCTGGTTTGTGTTGTGATTGACAGCACTGATTGATTGACAATGACAAACATAGACCAATAATATGTGTCGATGCTGGCAACACACTGCTAGCCCTCTGTAGCCAACTGGAGCGAATTTAGAGAGAGAGAAAATCATAGCGGACCGGACCACATTGGGTCAACGGCCCACCGGGACGATGACCGGTATGCCAGATGGCCAGTCCACCCCTGACTGTATTCCTTTTATATCTTCATTCTGTATAATTGCTACTGCCAGCACTTTAAATATACAGCAAATAAAAGAGGGGAGAGAGGATCTTCCTGCCTTTGTATTGGGAATCTTTTAGACAGTGTGCCATTCATTTTTATTTTGGAAGTCATCTAGATTTTGGTGGTTGGACAGTCAGATTACTCTGTTTAGAGAGAAACTGTCAAGAGTATAATGTGTATTATTCCCAGTGAGGAATGTATCAGTGCAGCTCCTGACTGTGACCACTAGAAGGCAGCGAATACTTTTTATACCAATGACAACAGTCACTACTGTCAACACAGACACACACTGTACAAACACTGTAAGAGAACACTTCAGAAATAAACTCTAAACAGACTGACACACATTCTCAAGTTCATGTTGTTGTTGATAATGACTTAACATTTACAAGGGACAGAAAGAGAAACCAAAGGCAGTATGATTAAAGGCATGAATCTGATTTCAGTATAAGTATAACAGGATAGACGATTAAAGGCAGAAGTAAATAAACTCAGTCAGACCTGTGACAGTTGCTCAGTTAGCACATCTGTACTTGCTTCCAATCAGCAGTCATGTGACCTCCGCGTCTAACGAGTACTTGCACAGCAGACAGGTTGAGAAGAGAGAGTGAAGCTCTCCTCTTGCCAGTAAACGTCTCCAGATCAGAGCAGGATCCGGTGTGACTGTGGGTGGTAATTCCTGCAGAAGCTCCGGCTCTCTTCTGCAGAGCTCCCCGGGCCTCAAGCAGCAGCTCTGTCTCTCCGCTCCTTCCCATACAGCACTGCATATGCACAGATTTATCACTCAAAGTGTCAAAGTGTGTTTGAGTCATTCGTTTCACCCGGCATGAATTTGTGTCTTTTTGTGTTTTTGGTTGGACTTGTAGTCTACTCGCTAAAATGATTTCGTTAGCCTTGGTGGGAACGCAGCGTAACAGTAACAGTGAGGTTGAACTTTGACCATTTGGATATGAATCATTTTATCCTGTATCCTATATCCTTTATCCATTTGTGTGAAATTTTTAGTTCTTGAGTTATGGCCAAAAACATGTGAGGTCACAGTGACCTTTGATCACCAAATTCGAATAATTGTTCACAGTGGATGTTTATGTATTGAAACTCCCTCCAGATGTTCCTATGACAGTCTAACACAATGTCTCTGGCTGTCTTCACTGTGGAGGGACAATCTGTTGAACTAGATATGAATAAATGTAACTCTAAATTTCTACATCAACTGATGTTGGGACTACAGCCACCAAGTGATAAAACTCTACGACCACGAACAAATGTGTGACTGCTGATTCTGCAACAGTGAGGATAACGATGTGAATCCTTCCCAAATCTTATATAACTTAATTTATACTGACATTCACAATATATTCTGACTTTAGTTTCTGTTTCATGTGGAGAAGTCAAACCAAATTCAACCTCAGCTTTAAACCTTTGCAGTGTTGTTATTCACAGCAGACAGATTCAGTCAGGATGGATTTCAGTGAACCAGAGAACAGGTTTGAGACAAAGCTTCAGTTAACTGGAAAATCACAATGTTTCCTGTATCCGCCCTCCAAACTGCACCAACCGGTAAGACTGTAACTATGTGGCTGTATCATACCATCTCCTAATACCACAACCTTACATTATGTATTCATACACTAAAGGACTTCTTAGTTTTTCACTAACTGGCTTAAAGACATAAAGATCCATTATAGAATCTGGAAACAAAATGTGTCCTTGGTGACCAAAAGAGCAAACTGCTACTGGTTCATATATTGGCAGCTTCCACCTGATTTCATTTGAATGGACAGAGGGTGGGTTGCAATATTCAGGAATCTTCCTAACAGTGTCCTGTCCAATTTTATTGGATTTTTTATTGTTTATTAAAAGTGTCCAAATTCCTTTAAGGAACCTTGAACCTGCCTCACAAATTTAGTTACATCCGATACTATGCTCCCAGCTGCCCCAGAGCTACAAGAACTTTTGCAATTGGCACAAATTGGACTGGACTGGTAACAAGAAGGACCAGAGCCGGCATTATTTCCTGAAGAGACTCAGGTCTTTTTACCGTGTGCAGGACTCTGTTGAACGTGTTAGTCAGTCAGTCAGTGGTGGCCAGCACTTAGGAAGAGCAGCACCAAGGAGGATGACGTGAGAAGGCTGAACAAAAACAAATTCCAAAATCACATTGTTCTTTAAGCATGATTTCAATAATCAAACATGGTGTATCCAACTGGACAACAGTAAATTAAAATGTGTTATATATACAAATATTATATAGGTCTGTTTGGGATTGGTCTGGCTGTTCTTAGGTCCCACTCTGAATTAAGTCACACTTCTTGAAAAATATTATTTATACATGTTTGCATGTCGGGTTTGGGCAGGTTTTCCATACCTTGGATCCACTCATTATACATTTTTACAAACAATCCTCAGAATGCTAAACATTTGGAGCCAGTGTTGGTAGGAGACCAAACCGTGACCTGGCCTGTCTTGGTTCACAGGTCGGGTCGATGTTACTGAAAACCAAAAGGATGCTTGAAGATCTCTACTCATCCAACTGCTTTCCAGGTGGGCATGAAGGTGTGTAGTGGAGGTCGTGAGTTACACTTGTGAACATTAATATTCAATGAAACTCTGGTGAATTACAAAATGAAAAGAGAAAGTATGAGATACGGCTTGGTGGGAGGAGAGATTCTACTTAGAGTTTCTGTGAAATCATGTGAACACATAGCGCCCATCCCTTCTGCTGATGGAGTATAAAAACTGTGAACACTGAGCGCTCGCTGCTCTTCCTCATCCTCATCCTCAGTATCCCAGAGCTTCCTGAACAACAACAGGTAAACCATGAAATACTTTGAAATGCCAAGATCAGGTTTAAAATGGGTCAAAGATTCTCTTGTTATAACTGACATTTATAGATGTCTTCAGTGTGTTAAGTTCCTTCTTGTACAATAACACTGACATGAAATAACATTTTCACAACCTGGGAACCAAGACGATGTTTTAATTCATGGTTTATAAATGATCCATTAAGCATTAGTCATTTATTTATTGACCATTAACTAACCCATTAGTTACTACTTACACCTCTTTCCCACTGTCGGGGACTTAAATTGTTTTCTGGTGCTTGCCATTACCGAAACTTGTAAGAAGCCGTAAGGTCTTGGTTCTATTTTCTTATTGCTTTTCCACTTTGTTTTGAATATATTGAAACTGCTTCAGATGATTAATTCCAGGAGAACCCTGTGTCATTTTTGTCAAGGAAACTCCTTTCATGTGCCTGTATGTTTGTAATTCATGACCACACCTGAGGGCTGGAATGTAGATCGACTGGTAAATGGAGAGCTTCACCTTCTGGCTCAGCTCCATCTGAACCATGACGTTCTAGCATACACACCCACATCACAGTCTCTCCTCTCAGCGAGGCTCGGTCTAGAGTCATTTTAGCTGGGCCTTTTATTTACAAAGGTTGATACTGCTTGCCTTCCTTTGACAGAAACTTATGCATATTGTGCTGTGGAAACTGGTTGATTATGCCTTTTTAAATCTAATACATTTTAAGACTGAGAGAGTTTATTATTTACTTGTAACAGTTTGTTTTTATTACAAGTGGAACATGTGGGTATATTGTTCCTATCAGAGGAAAATTAAACTTATCCACCTAACCTGTTGAGACAGAGAGAGAGAGAGACCGCTGGGTGAGCTAGACTGACTTTTGACAGGGAGAGAGACGCACTGTGCTGTCAGTTCACAGGCGTTTCCCATTAGAACCAGACAATCAAGTACAGCAGGAATCTTCAGCTCTCCGCCTCTTCTGTTTTATTCTTATAGTCTCAGTTCTAAAGTGATAAACATTCCACACAGCCGGAAACTGACCTGGTGTGATTGGTCCAGACCTGACACATGATAGTTTATTAAATTAATATTGTCTTTACTTTCTTAGAAAGGGAAACGTCTGTGTGATGAGGAGAGTTTGTGGATTGAATCATTAGAGGTACAATACGGCACTGCACCATCAGTGTCTGATTGATTGAGGAAAAGAAAAGAAAAACACTTAAATGCTTCATTTGAAATAATTATCAGTGATCATCAATATGTTTCCTCATCGTGCAATAACACTGACACAGCACTGGTGTCATTGGTGAAATTTAGTTAGATTTAGTTGTAAGACCAATGTGTGGAGGAGAAATTAAATAGACATCAACATGTTCAGCTGAATATTAAATAATTAAATGAATTAAATATAATTAAAATCAGTAAAAAATAATATTTTATATTAAGAAAATAATAGTAAGGGATACATACCCCTACCCATATTCATACACTTATATAACTTTTTCTGAAGTTCAGGTGGTGATGTGCCCAACATTATGATTTTGGGCACAGAGCTGTGACCCCTGACCCCCCACCACCTCAAACCACTGTGTTAGACTTTATTTGCTCTGTGTCACTGACAGTACGATACAGTATCTAATAATATCTATTATTCAACTTCGTTTAAGAATGCTTGATTCTGATTGGCTGGGAGGAGGGCATTAACCCGGCATATTGCCCGCTGACTGAGCACAGCGTCATCAAATAGTAGATCAATACGCCGCTTGTATTTTTTTTCTATCACATAAATTTCAAACATGAAGTCCATTGTAAAAATACACCTTGTTTAAAAAAGTTTCTAAAATGTGTCGGAAATCTATCGGAGGGTCAGTTGATACAATGTAGCAACTACGTTATTAAACTAACGTTAGTGATCAGATGCAGCCTTGTGTGGTTGCTATAGAAATGAATTAGCTACAGCTGAGCTAACGTTATTCACTGTTAGTTCTAAACATTGCAGCATTTTAAAAATGGACGAATTCATTGTCAATTTTAATATATTAGCAATAAACAGCTTCGACTTCGTCTCGGGCGGTAAGCCGTCCATCAGCCAGGCATATCAAACTGTTTATTGCCCGGCCTCTCCCTTACCTTATAACTACACAACAGCTGACAGGAGGAGAGGTTACTGACTGGTTTTTCTTTCTTCCAGAGAACTAATAAACTGCTCCATCCTGAAGCTGCTGTGAAGCTGTTACCATGGCAACGTGAGTAACATTTCTAACACAGTATCATATAAGGGATAATCAGTGGTGGACTGGTGTCTGGAGAAAGGGGTATACTCTTAATTTATTCCCCAGGTTTCTTTCTGAAGAGGTTCGTCTAACAATGAATAAACTCCCTGTGTTATAAACAGTAACATAAGATTACTGTAGCATATTTAACTCATCCATAAAGGGCTCAGTAATATTCACACATTGTTACTGAACTTCTGCTGCTTGACTTCAGGCAGTAAGGATCATAAGGACAGATACAATACTGTCTTTGAACTCATTCATCCTTTCACAACCTCCTTCCTAAACATTCACTTTGACTGTTTATAGTTCAACAACCTGACTTCCTAAAGGTTTTCTGTCAGAAGTATTTTTTGCATTAGAATGGGCGCCTGGCCAATCGGAGCATTTGAATGCTACACAGGACGTGTCTTACCAAAGAAAGCAGTGAGATTCATAATAACTTCTCTTTTCTCAACCACCTTCCAGTTCCACTGACATCCTCTCATACACCATACTGTATGGCTTCATATAAAATTACTATTCCTTTCAATAGTAACTGTTACTCAACTGAAGATACAGATAATGTACTTTTTGTACCAAACCAAACGTGTGAAAGCTTGTCAGTAGTTTTTAGGATAACTTTCAGTTGTGTGTGTACATGTATAGATATCAAATGACTCATTACAACCATCATCATGACCTCTTTTCCAGCCTTTTTATGCAGTTTCTTATTTTATTCCTGAATCGTATCACGGTGCAGAACCACATTTTACTACATGATGTAACAATCATAGAAACTGTTTCACCAAACCATTTTTCATCACTTACTCTTCTGTCATTAAAATATGGCCTCTTGTTTACCAAGAACCAGACTTGAAGTGATCACCTGGTGGTGAGTGAGCTGATAGTGGAGTTTCATTTCAGGATGTAATGTGCTTTATGTTCGACTGAATGACTGCGGTAGTTTAACTATTACTGCTTTATTAATCAGCTTCTAATGTACCCATATTGGGTGTGTGTGTGTGTGTGTATGTGTGTGTGTGTGTGTGTGTGTGTGTTTGTGTGTGTGTGTGTTTGTGGCTCTTGAACAGACTTGTGTCCTGATTCTTGTGCTCTGTACTCACAGTCAGTGTTACTGTTTTACCTCTCAGACTGACTTCAGATCAGAAGAGGACTGATTGTGAGGAGGACAGTTCAGAATCTTCAGGATCCAAAGGGGAACCTCCACTCTTCAGTAATGAACCCTCAGATAAAGAGTAAGTGAACTGTTACTAAAGAGCCGTTCACACAGAGAACAATAACTATAACAACTAGAATGATTCTGACTCAGTTATTAATATTCAGACTGTAACTAATGTTTGTTTAGTCCAAACAACAGTTCCAACCTCAAAATTGTTAAATAATTACCTATAAAATTATTACAAATACATTAATATTTTTGTTTTCTCATGTTTTAAGAACCAAACAGGTAAAATAGTTTGTGTCTGATGGATTAATTTAGAATAAACAGCTGAATCAGAGGAGTCTGGTTATAATCTTCATTAACAGGAATTAATGGCAGATATTCATAATGCAGAATTAGATAGATAGATAGATAGATAGATAGATAGATAGATAGATAGATAGATAGATAGATAGATAGATAGATAGATAGATAGACTTTATTCATCCCCGGAGGGAAATTGGGTCGTCATAGCAGCCAGGTACATTAAAATACAATAAAATAAAACAACAGAATAAAATACAACAATAGAATAAAATACTTAGAAAAGATTAAAAAAAAGATAAATAGGTAGGTAAGGTGCAAAGAGTTGTAGTTGCAAGATGGTGGTAATAGTACTGATGACATGATGGTGGTGTTATTGTTAACTAGAAAATTCCTAAAGAAAGTTTGATTGTGCCTTGCTCTGGCCCGTGACACTGGCCCATACATTACTGACACTGCCGAGTAGTTTACAGTACAATGTTTAATTCGGCGTACGCGTGATCCACTAACAACCACGTATTTTAATGACAAATCTTGTTTTTTCCATCTATTGCCACGGTCTTCTCCCACTGAAATAGTGAGGCTGGTAATGAGTTGATGCGACAAAGTCAGCCAAAAAGTTTGTATTTATGTATTATATTGATGCCGAATTAACAAGAAGACTGTTGAGATATGATGAGTTTTTTCTTGTGTTTCTACAGTTATGTGCTTTTATGTAAACGCAAATAATTGTTAATATATTGTATTTCTTAAAAGGAGTTTGGCATAATATTGTCCTGGGATAATGCAGGAAGCGTCATGGTTTAATTAAAATTGCTAAAGTAACTAAATAAGTAATAACCACAATGGTGGGAATAATAAGCATGTCGTAATAATAATAACAACAATAACAATAACAAGTAATGCTGTCAATAACATGAATTACAATATTTATATTAATAAGTAATACATAATTAATAAAGAAAACTATTCTTAATGTGCAGTCATAGGCAGTGTAGGTTTTTTAAAGATTTAGAAAAGTGTCCACCAGACCCTCTACCTGTTAACATACAATGAATGTTGTAGACTTTTATTTTGAAATACCACCCTCAGCCCGAAAGCAATGGTGCAGTTACAACAGTCTGAGTGTCAAAATAAATCTAACTTGATGTTTTATTACATTAGTAAATCTGTATTACTTGTGTCATGTGTAACAAGTTGAAATAGATGGCTAATTAAGAATTTCAGTGTCTTTTGTGACGTTTAATTAGCACAGTAATCCTTTGTCCTCTCTAGCTAGCAAAGCATTTTAAGTAATCAGCATATTAGTTAATTAGCCTTCTAATACCTTCTAATTATCTTTAGCTAGCCAGCTAGCACTAGATTATTAATGCCTTGTCAGCCTCTGTAGCTAGCTGTGTGTGTGTGTGTGTGTGTGTGTGTGTGTGTGTGTGTGTGTGTGTGTGTGTGTGTGGAGCAGGCTTTGGTTGTCATGGCAATCAGGGGAGCCCACAGCAGCTGCTCTCTCTCTCTGTCTCTAACTCCTCAGAGAGACAGAAACATTTAAAATGAATCCCCTCGAACCCATGGCCATATGTGTCATATATTCAGCCTGTGCAAGGTGTGCATACATACATACTGTAATATATATACACAATATATATAATATGTACACATATATACACACACAAGATATGATATGATATATAGCATATGTATAATAGATACTTGACAGACAGACAGACAGACAGACAGACAGACAGCCTTCCAGTTCCATTGACATCCTCTCATACACCATACTGTATGGCTTCATATAAAATTAGTATTCCCTTCAATAGTAACTGTTACTCAACTGAAGACACAGATAATGTACTTTATGGACCAAACTATATGTGTCAAAGCTTGTCAGTAGTTTTCAGGATAACTTTCAGTTGTGTGTGTACATGTATAGATTCAATTCAATTTTTCAATTCAATTTTATTTGTATAGCGCCAATTCATAACAGAAGTTATCTCAGGACACTTTTCAAATAGAGCAGGTCTAGACCGAACTCTTTATAACATTAATTACAGAGACCCAACAGTACCACCATGAGCAAGACCTTGGAGACAAGGGCAAGGAAAAACTGCCTGTTAAAAGGCAGAAACCTAGGACAGATCCTCCGGCTCTAGGTGGATGGTCGTCTGTCTCGACCAGTTGGGGTGAGAGAGAGAGAGAGAGACAGAGAGAGAGACAGAGAGAGAGAAAGAGAGAGAGAGACAGACAGACAGACAGACAGACAGACAGACAGGTGCACAGTAACAACAGTATTGGCAATGGCAGTCTAGCAGGACCATGGCAGGAGGCTCCACCAGGATCCATGAGAACCTGCGAGACGAGAAAGCACAAGAACTCCGGGGAAGAAGTGAAGTTAGTAACATGCATTAATGGAACATGAGTGAGTGCAGAAAGAGAGAGGAAGAGAGGAGCTCAGTGCACCATGGGAAATCCCCCGATAGTCTAGGCCTATAGCAGCATAACTAAGGGATGGTTCAGGACTCACCTGATCCAGCCCTAACTATAACTATCAGATTACTCATTACAACCAGTCATCATGACCTTTTTTCCAGCCTTTTTATGCAGTTTCTTATTTTATTCCTGAATCGTATCACGGTGCAGAACCACATTTTACTACATGATGTAACAATCATAGAAACTGTTTCACCAAACCATTTTTCATCACTTACTCTTCTGTCATTAAAATATGGCCTCTTGTTTACCAAGAACCAGACTTGAAGTGATCACCTGGTGGTGAGTGAGCTGCTAGCGGAGTTTCATTTCAGGATGTAATGTGCTTTATGTTCGACTGAATGACTGCGGTAGTTTTACTATTACTGCTTTATTAATCAGTGTAGCAGGTCTCTCTGCATATGTGGGTTCCCCCAGAACTCAACCAAGCACAACAGATCAATTAACCAACACAAATGTGTTCTTTTTGCCACACCTCCACTCTCCAGTAATGAACCCTCAGATAAAGAGTAGGTGAACTGCTACTAAAGAGTTGTCCACACAGAGAACGATAACAATAACAACTAAAATGATTCTGACTCATTTATTAATTGAACAGCAGGATATTCAGACTGTAACTAATGATTATTTTCATTATGGATTCATCTGCTGATTATATTCTTATTCATGTCTGGTTATAATCTTCATTAACAGGAATTAATGGCAGATATTCATAATGCAGAATTCTTGGTGTCTGTGGTATAAAGACACTGAACTGCTTTACTGTGAGACTAAAAGGGTTTTATTAAGACAGCAAGTAGGATGATTTTATGTATTTCATTCTATGTTCAGTGATTTTTGAACTTGTGTCTTTACTTTTCTACAGGAACAGCTCGCCCAAATATAATGACATCATCTCTAAAAGTGCTCTGATCCAATCAGGATCTCCCGCTGTCTACCAGCTGACACCAAAGAAAGAGAAGATTGGAACTATAAGAAGAATAACTCTTGGTGAAAAAGATCTGAACAAGACAAACAGAACCATTTTACTTGTTGGTGAAACAGGAGCAGGAAAATCTACTCTGATCAACGCTCTGGTCAACTACACCATGGGAGTGAAGTGGGAGGACGATATCTGGTTTCAGATCGTAGAGGACGAGAAGAGAAGTCAGTCAGAGAGTCAGACATCAGATGTGATCGTTTATGAGATCTTTGGTTTTGAAGGTAAAACTCTGCCCTACTCTCTGACCATCATCGATACTCCTGGATACGGAGATACCAGAGGGACTGAACAAGATGTCATCATCAGTCAAAGATTATTCGACTTGTTCCGTTCAAAGGACGGAGTCCATGAGATCAGTGTAGTGGGTCTGGTGCTGAAAGCAACTGAGAATCGACTCAGTGACAGAGTGAGGTACATCTTTGATTCAGTGATGTCTCTGTTTGGAAAAGATATGGAGAAGAACATTGTTGCCCTCATCACTCACTCAGATGGTCTGACATTCGAAAATGCCCTCAAATCTCTAGAAGATGCAAATATTAAATGTGCTAAAGATAAAGACAATGAACCGGTTTATTTCCTCTTCAACAACCACCAGAACAAACAGAAAACAAAGAGAAACACAGCTGCTTTAAAAAGTGCATGGAGCTTAACAACAGACGGAATGAGTCAATTCATTGGCTTCCTGAAGAAAACTGAACCTCAGAAGATGATAACAACTGTGGACATTCTGAATTCACGAATCAGACTGACAGCCTGCATCCAAAACCTGAAAGAGAGAGTTGACTTTATTGAACTAAAACAGAAAGAAATCCAACAGACTGAGGAAGGTCTGAAGAAATATGAACAAGAGATGAAGAACAATGAGAAGTTCACTGTAGAAGCTGATGAGGTCTACAAAGGTGAACAATCTCTCACTGGGAGTTGGGGGCTTTGGTTGTTTTATGAAGGAGCTACCTGCTGTACAGTCTGTGAAGAGAACTGTCACTATCCTGGATGTACAATGGCCTGGTATCCAAAACACTGTGAGGTCATGAAAGATGGTCACTGCACTGTTTGTACCAGGAAGTGTCCTGTATCAGCTCATGTGAAAGAAAAGTGGATCTATGTGAACAAGACAAGAAAAGTTCAGAAGACCTTTGAAGAACTGAAAGAGAAGTATGAAAAGAACAAGACAGAAAGTGAGAGCAGTTTGAGCCTTTTGGAAATTCTTCAGAAGGAAACAGAAGAACTTCAGAAAGATAAAGATCAGTTGTTGGAAGAGTCCTTCCAGTATGTTGTCAGACTGGAGCAGATCGCCCTGAATGCTGATTCACTGTCCACTCTTGTCCACTTGGACTTCCTGATTGAGAAGATGAAGGAGAAAGGAGACACAGAGAAGGTCCAGAAACTGGAAGAGATGAAAAGACGAGTGGATAAAGATAAAGGAGCCCGGGCAGCGCTGAGTTACGGGTTCAGTAAACTAACAGCAGCTGGTAAAGCAGTTAAAGAGCTGATGAAGTAAGTTCCAGCGTCACTGTGAGCTCTCGGTATGATGTCGTCCAGTACAACACTGCAGACTACAACCTTAATAATAATCATATATTTACATTAATGCTCTCTGACAGTGTCAGTCAAACCTGAACATTATTGATCTGTTAATGTAGAATTTATGTCTGAGCTGTTGTATTGGACTGCATTAGATTTTACAGATGAAGTACCACTGAGTGCATATCTGCTAATTATTGTGCCTTGCATAAGCAAAGCACAATACTACTCTTCTTCGGGCTTATTATTATTCTTCCGTACGTTTTTCGGCGCGCTATCAAAACGTGCGGCTCGGTGAGGACATTAGTGCTATGACTTTTGTAAGCGTTTCGCCAAACTGTTTGCCGATAAATCGCCAAAAACCGGTCCAAAAAATGAATGGGTGTGTATTGCGAGAATCTCCAACTGCCAGAGTGCGTGACATCATCACTAGAGTGTGGGGAGAGAGAAAAATTTGACAAAAAATACATTTGTAAACTGCTCTCAAGACCACAAATGTCACTCTACAGACATAATTTATAGATAGAAACGTAGGTAAATCCGTTGGGGTCGCAGTGATACCACTGCTGAAGCTGTCAGACAAATAGTCTTGGCGGGAGACGCACTGATGCGCCGGCAACGCCCTCTCACGGCCCCATCTACTCCCATGTTAAAATGGAGAGGAGAAATCTTGAAAGGAGCTCGTTGAACCTCTTCTCTCTCAATCTCCCCAGGTCACATTTTTTAACTTTAACCACTGAAACTCGGCAGTGCTATAGTCAACAAGATGACGACGCTCACGGTCTTTTCGGTTTTCATTTCGGTCGTTCCTGGCCATGGGTTCGAGGGGATTCATTTTAAATGTTTCTGTCTCTCTGAGGAGTTAGAGACAGAGAGAGCGTGCGCAGCTGCTGTGGGCTCCCCTGATTGCCATGACAACCAAAGCCTGCTCACACACACACACACACACACACACACACACACACACACACACACACACACAGCTAGCTACAGAGAATGACAAGGCATTAATAAGCTAGCGCTAGCTGGCTAGCTAAAGATAATTAGCAGGCGGCTAACAAACAAACAATTTAAAGCTGAATGATTTTAATATTAACACAAAATAAGTTCAATACACCTTAAATATTTTACCCTACTATGAGCTGTTCCTTAATTTACATTAGCACTCCTTCAGGAGCATAACACAATTAAACACATTAACCAAAGCTAGCACTTAGCTAGCGATTAGCACTTAGCTAGCGATTAGCGGTTAGCTACCTAAAGGGAATTAGAATGTATTAATATGCTAGCTCTAGCTAGCTAGCTAAAGAGAATTAGAAGGTATTAGAAGGCTAATTAATTAAAATGCTTTCCTAGCTAGAGAGGACAAAGGATTACTGTGCTAATTAAATGTCACAAAAGACACTGAAATTAATTAATTAACCATCTATTTCAACTTGTTACACATGACACAAGTTATACAGATTCAGTAATAAAACATGAAGTTAGATTTATTTTGACACTCAGACTGTTGTAACTGCACTATTGCTTTCAGGCTGAGGGTGGTGTTTCAAAATAAAAGTCTACATTGTTCATTGTATGTTAACAGGTAGAGGGTCTGGTGGACACTTTTCTAAAACTTTAAAAAACCTACACTGCCTATGACTGCACATTAAGAATAGTTTTCTTTCTTAATTATGTATTATTTATTAATATGAATATTGTTATTCATGTTATTGATAGCATTACTTATTATTGTTGTTATTATTATTACTATTATTATTATTATTATAACTACATATTTATTATTCCCATCATTGTGGTTATTACTTATTTAGTTACTTTACCTATTTTAATTAAACCATGACGTTTCCTGCATTATCCCAGGACAATATTATGCCAAACTCCATTTAAGAAATACCATATATTAACGATTATTTGCGTTTACATAAAAGCACATAACTGTAGAAACACAAGAAAAAACTCATCATATCTCAACAGTCTTCTTGTTAATTCGGCATCAATATAATACATAAATACAAACTTTTTGGCCGACTTTGTCGTGTCAACTGCTGCTATCACTTAGCACGTAGCTAAGCGCTAGCTTTGGTTAATGTATTTATGTGTGCTAGCTCTAGCTAACTAGCTATAGAGGATGACAGGTTACCAATATGCTATAGGGAGGATTACATGGCATTAATATGCTAGCGCTAGCGTGCTACAGAGCAAGACATGGTATTAACATACGGGCCAGAGCAAGGCACAATCAAAATCTCTTTAGGAATTTTCTAGTTAATATATGACAGTGTTATTAACCATTTACATATTTATATATTGTTAATGAATGCTGAGTAAGGTGTTGCCTTTTAAATGCTTTTCAATGTTTCTAATGATTCAATTTAGATTTTATTGGTTTAAGTTGTATTTAGGCTCATTATGTAAATCCCTTTGAAGTCTTTACAACACAGATATACTTTTAGCAAACAGCTGCAACATTTTAGGCCAACGCTTTTTTATTCAAATCAGTAGATATAAATATAATTTAGTTTTATTATATTTAATTCCATGTAGCTTTTACAAAAGATTTGGGATGTACGAGGAGGAATGGATAAAACCTATAAATGAAATTAATCAATCTGCAATCTACTTTTTCAACAGGAAGAATAACACATCACTGAAATATAATGACATCATCTCTGAAAGTGCTCTGATCCAATCAGGATCTCCCGCTGTCTACCAGCTGAAACCAAAGAAAGAGAAGATTGGAACTCTAACAAGAATGACTCTTGGTGAAAAAGATCTGAACAAGACAAACAGAACCATTTTACTTGTTGGTGAAACAGGAACAGGAAAATCTACTCTGATCAACGCTCTGGTCAACTACACCATGGGAGTGGAGTGGGAGGACAATGTCTGGTTTCAGATCGTAGAGGAGGAGAAGAGAAGTCAGTCAGAGAGTCAGACATCAGATGTGATTATTTATGAGATCTTTGGTTTTGAAGATAAAACTCTGCCCTACTCTCTGACCATCATCGATACTCCTGGATATGGAGATACCAGAGGGACTAAACAAGATGTCATCGTCAGTCAAAAATTATTTGACTTGTTCTGCTCAGAGGACGGAGTCCATGAGATCAATGCAGTGGGTCTGGTGCTGAAAGCGACTGAGAATCGACTCAGTGACCGTCTGAGGTACATCTTTGATTCAGTTCTGTCTCTGTTTGGAAAAGATATGGAGAAGAACATTGTTGCCCTCCTCACTCACTCAGATGGAAGATCACCTGAAAATGCTCTGAAAACCCTCGAGGATGCAAACATTAAGTTTGCTAAAGATGAAAAGAATCAGCCTGTTCACTTCCTGTTTGATAACTGTCAGTATGAAGACAGGACAGAGGACACAGAATACTTTAAACATGCAGATACAATATCAACAGAAGGACTGAGACAGTTAACAGGCTTTCTGGAAAAAACAAAACATCAAAACTTGAAGACAACTGTGGACAAAATAGACATCACAGTACCAAGCCAACAACAAAGAAGCATTAAAAATACAGAAACAGAAACTGTCCCATACAAAGCTACCCGCTGTACATCCTGTCTGAAGAACTGTCATTATCCATGTGGATCCAGAGAGCCCTCAGAGTGTTTGAAGATGGAAGAGGGCCACTGCACTTCATGTAAGTGTCCTGAATCAGATCATGTGACAGAAAAGAAGATCTATAAGGAGTAGACTAGAAGACCCTGAAAGATGTGAATATATGAAAAGAGTTAAACTGAAACATCTAGAGAAAAAAAATGGATCACCCTGATTGTTAATAATAATACAGGGACAAGAGTCGTCGAGAAGGTCCAGAAACTGGATGATGGAGATGAAAAATGACAATTAATTTCCTGTCAGTCAATGAACTGTCTGATAGTTTCAGCTGTACTTGTTTATTTTCATATGTTTAGTGTAAAAATATGAGTTTGTAAAGTAAGTGAAGCTTTTCTCTGCCATGTAAACAACTGGGACACAGCTAACAGCTCTGCCTTTAAATGGAGTGAGGACGCCCCCTGGTGGTTAATGTGGGGTACAACAGCTCCCTCCCTCCCCTATATCACAGACTAAACACAGTGGGGTCCTGTTGTTTTCTGCTTTCTGAGGGATATTCCTCTTATTATCATGTGTTCTTCAGTATGATTATGCTTTTGCTGCTATGAATAGATGTGTCTGATATATCCACCATGATATCACAATGTTTAAGCTGTTGGGAAACTAAATCCAAGTCAACTCATTATAAAGGAGTTGATCCTGGAGGGGGTTGATACTGTACCTCTTCCTGTGTCTTCTGTCAGCGGGATGTTTGTGTGGAGCACTTTAAGGAGGAGAAAGGAAGAGAAGAAAGGTCCAATAACACGTGCAGTGAACTCATGAACATCCTGTTGTTGGCTCCAGTTAATGTGTGTTATCTCAAAGTGCTCCAAGAACTGAGGACAGACTGCCTCTCCTCACTCACATCTGTGTAATGCTGATGATGGCTCTCGCTTGCAACCAATAAAGATCCACTGAGAATCTGAACATTGTGTCAGCTGCTAGTTTTCACTTTACACCACATTTTCTTTACTTTCTCTGAGTATTTAAGCTTTTTCTAAAGTGCTTTTCAGTCAGTACGAGGTTGAGATTTATTGTTGAAGTCTCAGTAAACGTCTCACTGCTATATAATATATAGAGAGTAACACTTTATCAGGGTTGGAGGATTACTTTAATGTAATCTGATACAGTTACTGATTACCTGTTCAAATAGTCGGTAAATGAATCCAAGTATCAGAGTTTTACTTGAACAGCAAATATGCAAATAAAGAGAAAATAAATATCAATAAGAAGTATCGATGTATCCTATAAGACAACAGAACAATTTAATGAAAAGAAAATAGGAACCAGTATTTTATCATCAACAGTTTGTCCTCTGCTCAGAGTATTTTTAAAGAAAAACTGATGTATTTTTATATTGTTGTAATAGTCCATATTTTAATACATGTAACTGTAATCTGATTACAATGTTTTTTTTTATCCTGATTACTGAGTCACATGTAATCTGAGGAACATATTCTGAGTTATTTGGACAGCATTGTAGTTTTGTTACATAAGAGCAGACCATATTTATTAAGTGTTATTAAAGGACAATGAGTATTATTGTGGTTCCACCTTATAAGGCTCATACTGAGAAATCTTATTAAGATCATAATTCATGTCCAACAACTTCTTCACTGACAATCAACCAGCAGTCATTAGGAGGTTATTGAGGGAAAACTCTTAATAAAAGGCCTAGTAGTTGTAGAATATGCAGAATAATGAATTTATATGTGACTTAAAATGACTAATAAAGAGATATTACCAAATATGCATTCTAATAAACTAGTTAATATTAACTAGCTAGTTATATGACTATATTTCTTGATTTTAAGGGGTTTAAGAAACCAAATTTTCCAAAAAAAGGAGCTTATTAAGTATTTATGATTATTAATAACATAAAAATAAACAATACAGACAAATAATTGATTAAAAATATCAGGAAAACTCTGATCAATATTAACAGGAAATAATCTGCTCAATATTCATCCTAATCTCTGGTTTTACACTCATACATTAGAATATTAAAATATACTGTGAAATATTCCACAGCGCTGCCACCTACTGTCCATAGGTGAAAACACACCTCACAGGAAGTTATGCAGCTCTTTCAGTTGAAAGGTTCAACAATTTACCAAAATAAAAGAAATTAAACCCACCAAGAAATGTGACCATACATTCTGTGTGCGTACTGCGTCACGTGTGCACAGTTACAGTTAATAACATAAGATCAATAATCCCATCGGCTGTGACTAATTCCTGATTTATTCCCATATTATGGTTTTAGTTTCCCACTATTGCTTCATCTCGTGTGAGTAAAAACGTAATATAAATAATATTATTAGTTATCAACATTTAAAGTTCAAATCCAACAAATCAAACTCACCTTTCTTCAACTAAAGTTCTGTTACCTTTGTCTTCTTTAATTGTGAAATGCACTGTTTGTTTAATATGTATGGAAGCTTATTTCTGCCAATGTGATGAAAAAAGAAGAATCTAAGTCATTATAATGAGAAACTTCCTCAAAATGATGAATTTGTATCTTAAAATTATAACTTAGCAAGTTTCTTATTATAATGACTTAGATTATTCTTTCTCCATCACATTGGCAGAAATGGGCTTCCATACACACCAGCAGCTTTAACATCTTTATATATACTTATATTATATATATTATATATTATATAGTGTGTTGTGTGTAGCATTAATAGTCAAACAATAAATGTACTCAAACTCAAATGTGATCTATAACTGTACTATAAGTGTGTAAAAGAGTGAAGTGGTTTGAATAGTTCGGAGTTATTTCTGAAGTATTGTGTATGTGTACTCGTGTGTACTGTTTATATTCCGTATTACAGCTACTGGCTGAATAATGAGTGCTTTCCACCGCCTTTAAAGACTAAAAACAGCTGATAAATCAATAACGAGACATCCGAGCAGCAGCCATTAACTTATTTATTATACTGAATTTACCAAAAGTAAAAGCAAACACTTGAATAAACAGTATTGTACATGTTTAGTCTGTTATCCTATGGTTTTTTGTGGTGGTTGTTTCTGAAAAGCATCCCACTGTACACAAGGCTGATGACCTTTTACAACCTTTGTTTTCTTTATTTTAAAAACACCCAAAAGCAGACGACGTGGACGCTCCGGCGCAGACGCTCTGGAGTAAGGCGGACACAGGTGTGGACACGACCCCTTCACTGCCACTGAGATACTGGGAAATCAGAAGGTCCAGACTTTAACTAGTACATAGAGAGGGGAGGGAGGGAGGAGAATACAAAATGTAATCATCAGCCACGTCGGCTCTCTGTGGCCCCTCTGACTCCAGAGCCCGGCTTCCTGTCTCTGTGGCCGACTGCGGAGATCTTTAACTGTACACGACTAACTGACATGCATCTGAGTAAAGCTTCAAATAGACAAGTGGGGACAGATATTCATATTCATTTATCATATCAGATGAATGTTACACAGAAATACTTAAAGGAAAATGCAGCATTTGTCAACCTGGGTCTTAATAACTCCCCCCTCCTACAGTATTGGGGCCTCAACGTTAACCGAGATTTGCTCAACTGCTATTGGAGCAGAGCAAAAAGGGGGAGGGGCTTAAGGTCAATTATGAGACGCAGGCTGAAAAATATTGAATTCCTTTAAGTGTGCATCTGGACTGCTGTAAACGTGGAATCCAACGATGGATTAATAATAATAATAATAATAATAATAAATCAAGGCATTTTTCTACACTTTGTTTTAATCCCGTCAGCTGACACAAAAAGCTGACTAAATGACCGAACGTCTTCCTCGTCAACACAAACACGTGATGTCATGTTCATGTAGAAACATTTCATTGGTAATAATGACAGAAAAGATCATAAGAGCTGACTTCAGTTCAGCCAGTTGGGTGATAAATGAAACACATTAACTTTGCTCCGAGGTGGTGACTGTGCAGTTTCAGCCAGATCTATAATACAGTGGTTCTCTTTATACCTGCTCACTGACACTAGCACTATATAATCCTGTAGCACTTCAAACCTTTGTTCTGTACGAGCTAATCCACGTCCCAAACAGAAAAAGACTCTACAAAATGGACATCAAATAAAAACCTAAATCTTCGGTCTGGAATGGAAATTTCAACAGTAGCAAAAAAAAAAAAAAAACATTCAGGTTTATTGACATTTCATGATATTCTCCACCTTGCAGGGCTTTTGTAGGCAAGAGAGCAATACCAATACTTCAATGTGGACTAAATTATAGTATAGCAAGGCCTGTAGTAAGAGTCCACAGTGCTAATGGTTGCCCTCGCAGATACCCTGACGGCCCTCTGTGTGTGAGTGTTTGGAGGGTCACCCTTCAGCAGGAGCAACGGGCGGGGGGCGGGCGAACGAAAGGAGGAGTTAAATATGGAAACTAGCACACATAAACGTGTGAGTTTCTCTGGGGGGAGGGGGGAGCAGGGGGCTGACGGGGCTTTAGAAGCGGTTGGGTTGATAGAGGACGATGCAGAGGTACCCAGAGATGACAGATGTGTGTGTGTGTGGGGGGGGGGTTAGAGGGCAGTTCTGGGGGGCAATTGCGGGACGCCGCCCCCCTTACTAGAAGGTCTTCCTGTGGATGGCACGTGCTCTGTCTTCTTCATATTCTCGCTTCGACACCCACATCTTCTTAAAGGTGTCCAACGATGCCAGGATGGAGCCGCTGCGGGGGGGGACAGTTAAATTATCTGTCACATCACATTTCATCCTCAAACACGGTCGGTGCTCAACTGAACTCTTACCCAATCCATGTGGAGTAGAGCCTCTCCTGGGGAGCAGAAATCTGGACGGGACAAACAACCACAGGTCACAAACACATTTCTACAGATATGGACCCGCTGCAGCAGCGTATCACAGAACCTGGACTCACCTTGATCTTCACGTCTTTGGGTGCCAGCTTCTTCACTTCAGTTAGTAGTCGTTCCCCAAATCCTGAAAGAACAGAGAGTGTTAATGTCAGTGAGACAGAGAGGATAGCAACCAGTTTGAATTACATGGGAGGCAGGAGGGGGTTTAACTCCCTGGAAGAAACTAAAGTTAACCCCAACCTTTGATCAGCGTCGACCCCCCACACAATACTATGGTGGAGTACAGCGTGCGTCTGAGGTCCATGTCAGACTTCTGGATGGCGTAGGCCAGGACCTCGTGGATCCCCGAGCTCTCGTCTCCTATCAGGTCGGGTCTGAACAGCAGCTCTGGGGCTCGGAACCTGGCCGGGCCGATCTGAAAAGGAGGACGCGGTTCAGAGGGTTTTTGGTGGTCGGGAGGTTTTCAACCTTTTAACATCTTTACAAAACCCTCGTCAGTGTCTGAGGGACTCACGTTTAAAGTGCTTCCATCGGGGAGAACGTACTGAGCCTTCTCTGTTTCTAAAGTCTCGTCCTTTTGCGGGTTGAGGGACAGATAACAGGCTCTCTGCAAAAGTTGGAGACACATTGGATTAGATAAAGTTCTTCATGTGTCAAATATAAACACTCCCCGCCTGCCGCCTGGCGCCGTTACCTCTTTGATGGTGCGGACGACCTCGAACTCTGCCGAGGTGTTGAAGTTGTAGCCTTCCTTGCGCAGCAGCAGGCGGAGGTACCGCGACACGTCTCGTCCGGCGATGTCCACGCGCATGATGGAGTGCGGGATGGCGAAGCCCTCGTAGATGGGCACGACGTGGGTCACGCCGTCCCCCGAGTCCAACACGACACCGGTGGTGCGACCTGTGGCGTACCTGCGTGAAACAGAGGTCACACCATCATCATCATCATCATCATCATCATCATCATCATCAGTCTGGATGTTTGTGTTCGATAAAGGTTGGAGAGCTCAAATAATCGTCCACTGACAGTGAGGAACATCAGCTAGCAGCCCGGTTCACAGCAGGTAGAGTGCGTAAGGAACTGCTGACGGGGTTTATGTTAAACAGGAAATGTACTCGTCAAGTCTTCTGTTAGTTGGACAACCCGCTCTTCCTCCTGAGCCACAGCACGTGAAGTTGTCCAACAGATGAAATAAATACACAGTAAACACACAATATGTAAAAAGTTTTTTCTGAGAAATAAATGAATATTTTTCAGTCATAATTTGTCAGATTTGAGGTAGGTTGAGTGTCTGGTTACAGTCCTCGTAGATTAATCTGCAGTTTATAAAGTAAGAAGGGTTTTATTGTTGGTTTTTCCTCCAAACAGACTTTATAATGGTGCAGTATCGACTGTACAGCAGATGACTGTCACGCTGTGTGTAACAACAATAACACACTGTACACCGCACACAGCCTCACTCGACTATAAGTCAGCAGTAATGGTGACACTTTGGTTCTCAAACCACTGAAAAGTTCCAGAAGTTGACATAAAACTGGAGAAGCTGATGAAGAGGAGGCACAGAGACTGTGTACTCACAGGCTAAGGACCGCCTGCATGGAGATGAAGAGAGCGGGAACGTTGAAGGTCTCGAAGAAAATCTCCGCAGCCTTCTCCCTGTTCTTGCTGGGGTTGAGAGGGGCCTCGGTCAGCAGTACAGGATGCTGTGAGACACCAACAGGGTTACGGGTCAGATCTGCCGACCTTCATCGTCACGGTGCTGCGTGAGAGGAGGAGCACTCACCTCCTCGGAGAACGTCTGCAGTTGCTCCTTGGAGTAAACGTACTGCCAGA